CAGCAGCAGCAGCAGCAGCAGCCGTTCCACTGGAGCTGCAGGATGAGAAGCAAGAAGATGAAGAGGTGGAGGAAGTGTGTGCATCCAACAAACATGGGCAAAGTGGTGCTCAGGGAGGAGTGCTGTGAAGATGAGACGAAGGACCCTGGTGAGGAGTATGATGAAGATGAAACGAAGGATCCAGAGAAGGAGTGTCATGAAGATGAAACGAACTCACCATGCGAGTTCCCCGCCCCTGTCCTCAGATGGAGGGTTCCTTTCCAAACCCAACATGTGAGCATCGTGTTTGCAAGTGGGGTGGGGGCCGTGCCCCCAGACCCCTGCTTTCTCGAGCCGCGCAAATTTGCTTCAAAGCATATGCGAAGTTTGCTTTGGCTAAGCCAGCACGCGAGCGTTGTGTCCGCAAGCCTGCAAGCTGGCTGGAACCAGATGCATTTGTTCCAATATTAAGGAAAAGTCGCAGACTGGGCCTCGGATGGCCAGAAAGAAGTTTTTTGGGGTTACAATTGTTCCGAGGATGGAACTAGAAGCTGTCGGGGCGGAAAACAGCTTTGGGGGGTGGAGTGAAAGCCAAGGGGGTTGGAAAAACATTCGGGAGCTAGAAGAAAAGCTGCGCCCCCCTCGGAATCTGCTCGAAGTACTGCTGTTGTGTCCGTCGAGATTGCAGCTAGGATTATTGGGTCGGCTACTAATACGATTTCGACGAATACGACCACCACTAGCTGCGACTACGGCCCTGACCATGACGACGGCTACGCTTCTGCTTACGACTGTGACTCCTGTGACGACGACGACGACAAGGACTGCTATTGCTATGGCTGTTTGCTGCGGTCGTTGGAATCTATCGACCAAAGCATAGGATCTATTTCCATGCTTCCACGCCCCATAAGCTGCCGAGAGCTCCACCCCCGATTATGACACCAGAGCTTCGCAAGGCTGGCGTCCCCGTGTTTCGGTTTCATGGTGGTCCCTTCCGGAGCTGCGGCCGCACCAAAGGGGCTCCGGGTCCGGGAAAAGGCTGCGTGCTCGAGGAGGACGACGATTATTTCAGATGGGCTACCACCCTTGCAACAACCGTCATCTTCGTCATCATCAGCAGCATCATCATTGATGCAAGGGAATGGTAGCTAACACAAACCCGAATCCAGTCGCACATAGCCAATCACCCAAGCGGATGTTGCAAACTTGGCAAAACAATTGCGTGCCCTTGGTTAACCCAAACTGGCTTCGAACTTCGTGTTCCATGCCTCTCAAACTGCTCGAACGCCTTATAACTCCGTAATTCCCGAAACCTCGAACCAGCAGTTGCCGACCGCCAGACGCATGAAGGAGCTTGGGATGCCAGCGAAGAGCAGCGGAGCTCAACTGGCGGACGTCCCTTGGCAAATTTTGGACAAAAGCTGTTTCTGCGGTTGCATTTTTCAATTGTTAGGCAGTTCAGGGGGGCTTTCCATCGGGTCACGCCGAAAGTCAGCTTCGGTTTGTGACACGTTTATTGAGGTTTTGGTATATGATTTGGAGCGTCTTAGGGATTGATTTTGGATAAGACAGCGCAGCTGTTCGTACTCATAAACGTGGCTTTCTCGGCTGCAGATGCTGCTGCCACAATATGCTGCCGCGGTTTCGCAATGGTTCGATTGCTGTGTCCTGAGTGAGGGAAAGGCTGCCCCAACTACTGTCTGGCACTTCCGTTGCTGCTTGGGTGAAAAACTTCTTCTGCTTCTTGTTGCTTCTAGAAGTTGATGATTTGCAAAGGCACTCGAGCGCCTTCGCTTGCAGACTGTCGCTGAGCCCCGGCAGCTGCCGCCGGCTGTGAATCGTGCCGATAGGGCGAGGCAGCTTTTGCATTGCCAAAAGAATCTGGTGCTTTAAACCCTTTGCTGTGACGGATGCCGTGTTTATACAACCCTGCGCTATAATGACATCATCGGAAGCACCATGAAGAGGAAGGCTTTCCTTCGTGTGATCCTCGCTTCTGAGGTGTAGTAGGCCTAAATTGAACTTCGAAACTCCCAAGGTCCTAGAGGTCCTACAACCACACAGCCAGCAGACCACGTGCCCGCAGCAATTTTGAAAGAAGACCTGAAACCTTACATCGTTAATGCTGAAGCTTAGAAGCCGCAAAGAAACACAACCCTGCAACCAAACTCATGTAGGTATGAGCACCACCCTGCATTCCGCGATTTCCACAGCCGGCTTTGGCCGGTAACAGAGGAGCGCCGGGGCTGTAAAGGACCTGACAGTTGAGTGGCTTCCTTTAGCGGTCCAGGGTGTCGTGTCGGTGTAGGGTTTAGAATAGTATTCGGGCATGCGGTTTCCGGGTTGATGGAAGGATTCTTTAAAACGGGCGTAAGGACTTCTCAATGCTCTCCTGCCGCCTGTGTCATATCTTAACTATTTTAAAAAATCAGATTGCGGACAAGGCTTCACGCAATGGATGTCTTGTCTTGAGAAGTGCCCCATAAAGCGACTTAGTTCTGTTTTTTTGTTTTGGTTTTCTGTGTGCCAACACTCCTTTGCGATGCTGGAACCAACAACCTTGAACTACACTACACTTGTATGTCGCTTCCTTCGGACATAAACTTCAAAGTTTCAGGCGAAAGGCTTAAACCTTGAACTCATGAACTCTCAAACCCCAAAAACTCCTAAACCCACAAGCCGAGGTACCTCTTCGACTGGACGGGCTTGCGTTGGCCCCGAACCATCTGCCGACGCGAGGCGACGGGTCCCCGAAGGCGGGTTCCCGATCGGAAGCAGCAAGTCGTACAAGCTACCGCCCAGGTAAGGTTCCTCTTGCTCCAAATTCCCAAAGCCCACGACTGCTCGGCAGGAGTGATCACTGGATGGCGGAACAGGAGAATTGGAAGTGGCTCTGCCAGGTCAATGTGGCCCACCTAAGGTCGGGGCTGCAGCTTGCGTACCCGCCCCTTCCCATGGTGGATTCGAGTTACTTCTTAGCCATCGTGGTCGGGGAGGCCGTTCTGAACAGTGAGGCCCACGACGCGTTCGCCAAAGCTCCCGGTAGCATCCTTGCCTTAAACCATTTGGCGAGTCCCAGTGTAAGAGCCTAAGCCCTGAACCCCATAAGCCCAAACCGTGTAAGTCTAGGACAGTCTAAGACTTTTGTTTCTAGGCGGAGAAGCCCCGGCCCTTCGTCATGGGGACTGCCGGAACGATGCTTGGGCACTGGGCAGCCCGCGCAGGGAAACTCTCCCAGCGAAGGGCTTTGGGACCTCCGCAGATCTTCGTCGCAGAGGTCGCCGCAGCTCAGCTTGCTCAGTTTAGGATTTCGGGCCAGAGTTTGGTAGCGCCTGTTAAGTATAGTCTGGTATATATCAACACAGTCATGAGCCAGGAGAGCGAGGAGTGGTTCTGCAGCCTCCTCTGGCAAGTCTTTCTGGGCGATTTGCAATCACCCTCCCTTGGCTGTGGCCTGAGATCTCTGGCATCGTTGTCGCTGTGGCTGGAAGATCAAGTGCCCGGGACTGGTTTGGTTCATATCATAGACGGTGTGAGATCCGAAGCCCGAAGGAACACTGGTATTGCATGCGAAGTCACGAACAAAGGCCCATGTGGACCTCCTCCTCCTCACTTTCAGTGACCTCACCCTCGCCTGGCTCCGGGACTTTGCGGCCCCGCTGCGGGACCGCGTGGAGGCCTTGGCAGTCGTGGACTTGCCTGTGGAGGCTGGAACCAGGGCTTACTGTAGGATTTGGGGTTCAGAATGTAGGGTTTCTGAAGCGTTTTAGGGATTCTTGTCATGGATGGAAGGTTTGTGAGACAGATTCCTTTTGTTCGTTTACCTGTGTACACAAGGGTTGTAGGGGCTTGGTGTTCGGGACCTGAGTTTCACACAGGTTTTTATGGGGAGCTTGTTTTTTTGGATTTTTTCGGAAAAACATGTGATCCACTCTTTTGGCAGCATGTACCAAGTTCCCTAGCAAGAACTCAGGAATGCCCCAAAGCCTAACTTATCGGCGTTTTTAGGATTCCAGGGCGTAGGGATTGGAGTTTTGACTTGCGTAGGTTTGGGGATGGAGGCCTTCAGGGTTTGTGCTGTAGGATTCAGACGTTCCGGTTCCCGAGTGCAGTAGTAGTAACAGGCGAGGTTTCTACGTTTAGGGCGGACTTCCTTCCCCCAAATGGGCAAGCACTAGACTTCAGTGTAGTGCGTGAGGGTGCTACTCTTCATCCATAACTGCCTCTTGCAGGTCCAGACGTATCCCCGTGCGCAGATCAGATTGCGCCCTGCGCACCAAGAAAGGTTCAGGGTTGCGGAGCAACAACCCCCAACTTGCGCTTCAGTGGGAGATCATGTCCTAAGGTGGCATAGGCCAAGAAGACACCATATACTGTGCCCCAAGTCTTAAGCGCCTTCAACCGTAGGCAGCTGCGCCTCTGAGCAAACGCCCAAAGTCGAAACCAAAAATCGAGGAGTACACTGGAAGCCCGTAAATCCAGCCTCAAATGCTCCAAAGCAGGAGAAAGGCCCCGTCCTCGAGCTCCTCGATGGCTGGGTTGTGGTCCACGACTCGACGTGCCCGGACAGCCGCTTGGAGCAAAGCGGACTTGGGCTGAGAACTAGGGCCAACCTTGGCGCACGGTTTGGGCCTCCAGCTTCAGAACAGAGTTTGGTGTACATTATGGTAGAGTATGCAAGGATTGCAAGGTGGCTAGCGATGACTTCGCATGAGACTACAACACTTCAAGAGAGACTCGCGGTTCGGAGCTGTGGGGGCAAAACCTCGCGATACACGCGGCTAATGCTGCCACAAGGCTGCGTAGAGCGGACTTCCCTGGCCACGAACTTTCGTGCATTCAGCACTCCTTGCACTTCATGAGTGCACGCAGTTGGGAATGCAAGAGGCAGAACCCGCAACAAGAGGGCTTGCCGGCTTACAGTACGAGAAAGACCGGGGCCAATGCATGCCGATGCTGCAGATCCCAATGGACACTCATGCATGTCAAGGCTTCCCTGAACCAATCCCGTATCTCGATTCAACCGTGGAGATCCAACCGTTTACCACCACATAATTCAAGCAGAGCAATGCTACGAGAAACCAAGGCCGCAAGCGTAGTGCAGAAGAAGTAGAGCAGGAGAGGGACTAGTAGCGCCGCAAATGGCACCGGTAGAAGTTCGCGAGTGCATCACGTGTCCGACTTGTCTCGCGAGGCTGTTAAAATCCAACTCCGACATTCTGAAAGAATAACTCAAGCCTCCCGAAGGGCAAAGCAGCCCATGAATCCAAAGCGCTTAGGATTTGAAGCCTTCTCAAGCCCTGCACTCCCACGCTTTGCGACGGAGGCTGTTTTGTACAGACCAGCTACGGACCGGTGGAGGTGCACAGAGGCACTATCATTGCCAGATCCTCAGAAAAAAGGCAGCCTTTGGACAGCGGGATGCAGAGGGTGTCGGTTTTGCTTTCCTAAGGCTGTGGGGGTTTAAGGCTGGATTTTCCAAAAGGGGCTCGCGTTTTCGACTTCGGGCTTGCCTCGTGCCGAGGCGGAAACTTTCTCGACCCCCCTAGAGACGAAGCCGTAAGACTACCGAGGCCTTGAGGCATGCCGAGCAATGCATCTTCTTGCAATAAACTCCTGATTTGGGCCTCCAGCCCTGGGCCTCCCGCAGAAACCGCTGAGCCCCAGACCCCACTTTCCTGTCGCAGTTGGCAAAACCGCACCCAACGAGTCCAAAACCTCGTCGTAAGCCTCAGACGCTTCAAGCCGAGCTGTTTTTTTTCCAGTAGGTCTGGGAACAATGCCAAAAAGTAGGTTCTGCTTATTGAAAGTCTGCTCCCCAATGCCCAGACCTTCAGAGACACAAAGCACACCAAAGAGTCCAAAACTTGGAACACTGGGGGCTTCATTGCGTGAACGACGAGCACCGTTGGGCTTTGCAGTGCGTTTGCAGGGTTTCGTGTAAACTCCACCTGGCCCGCTTAAGGTCTAAGTTTCCAAAACCCCCAAGCCCGAAAGTCGAAAACTTGGTCGTCATAGATACGGATTAGGGGGACCAGTCCTCTTTGGATGATGCTTCACTTTCGGCTTGGTCGCAGACATTAGACATGTATAGATGCTGCGACAGTTATCCTTGCATTGTGATTCGTCTGAGCTCTCATGAACCGTTGTGGTTACGAGTGCAATCATTCTCGGCGTACATCCGCAAGCTGGTCTAGCTGAAAGCTATGTTGCTGCTTCCCCCAGAACGAAGGTTCTCGTGGAGTCGGTGCAGAGCAGACGGCAACCAAAGACCCGACGGCAAGTGTACAGATTTCCCTAAACCCGACATGTGACCCTTGCTGCCCATGGCCCTGCGAGCCACGATCCATGGGGGCCAGGGGACTCAGAGCTTGGGCCAGGGCGGATTGCAGGGATTGCAAGAGGAAGTTGGGGGGGGGGGGCCAAAGCTTCGGTGGGGATTTTGGGCACTCCTCTCATCTTTTGTTGTTTTAGGCTTCTGCTTGGGGATGGACTGTGGGGTTCGAGGCAAAAAGGCTCAATGAGGGAGGTGAGGTCTCTGGGAAGCCTCGAGAGGTCAAACCGTAGAATCCTTAGACGGCGAGCCGCAAGACCATAAAGTCCAAACCCTGAAGCCCCGATGCGTCCGAAGCAGGGAAGTTGCCAAGCTGCACATGGGAGAGCAGAGCGAAGGCAGTAGAACACATGGAACAGAGATTGGGGTTGCTGATCTGGCTAGGCTTTTCAAGCTTGGTGCAGGGCCAGTTCAAGCCTATCCAGAAAAGAAGCCCTTTGAACGAAAAGCTTGAAGCTGGCCCACACCGACCCCGAGAGTCACCCTAAACGCCCCCCCAAAAAACTTTATAACCCCAAAAGATCGACACACCCAAAACTGAATTCCATGGTCCCCCGAAGACATGTTCACACCGAAGCCCCTCGGAAAAATGACTTTAAGCCGAGCCGAGCCGAGCCCCCCAAACAAGAAAAGAGAGAGAGAGAGAGAGAAACAAAAAAAGCGCGCGGCGCGGGCGGGCGGCGAGGCCTCGGAGTCGGCGCCCGCCGCGGAGTCGACGTCGGGGGAGCTCTCCGAGGAGCTGGTGCTCCGGGCTCTGAGGCCCTCGCGGGGGGACTTTGGGGTTGCGCGCTTCTTGGTTGATCTATACTCCTGAGATTTCAGGCATTCTTGGTTTTCTTTTCTTTGTTTCTTTTCGCGCTTGTCTTTCTGGGGGTGATTTTCGCTTTTGGTCGGGGGGAGGGTTCTTGGTTCCGGGCCTGCTGGGTTTGCAGTTTCGTGGATGTCGGGTGTTTCTGGGTCCTTGGGTGGAACTTACGTAGGGGCTTCGGTTCGTATCATTTTGAGGGGTTATGCCCTCCCTGACTGCATCGCTCTGTCGGGACTTGCTAGCGGCTTCTCTGAAGGAGTGACGGAAGGCAGAAACGAAAGAAAGTAGTGCATGTTACACGAATTCAGCATGAAGCTACTGTCCCAAGCCTTACCGGAAGCATCATAAGCACTTGAGGCCTACATGTTGAAGTCCCCGATCCCAGAAGACAAAAACCGTTTGGCTGGTCGGTTTCATTTGAATCCTAAATCCCAAACCCCAAAGAGGCGGGTGGGAAAAAGCCCGAACACTAAACCTTAATTCCTAAACCCTGAATCCGACAAATGATAATCTGTAGGCCCTGTTGCAAATGAAGAACTTGTTGCATGTACACCGAAAGGGAATTTCAAGCCCCAAGCCGCCAAGCCCTACAGGCCCTGACCCCTCAACGCAACGAATCCCAAGCCTCCTTGAGATCTCCCAGCAAGACAAGCGCCGTAAAACCCAAAGAATCCAACATTGCCCTTGAGCGTGCCCAACTCGCTGCTGCCCAGGCTGTGCTTTTCGTTTTTTGAGACTCCAGGCACTGCAGGAACTCTTGCAGGAACCCTTTGTTGTTCGGGCCCCCCCTCCCCTTCAAAAAATGGAGACCAACGAGTCCAAGGAGCCCTTAGTGAAGCCAGGAATGCCGAGGAGACCATGGGTTCGGCCGGCAGGTGCTTTGCAGCTCTGGCTTCGGGCTTTCCAGACGTTTCCGGGTTTGGGAGTTGTAGGAATCATCCTGTTTAGGTTCACGAAGGGGTCTCGGGATTCGGGGGCTTTTGTGGGGCTAGGCCGAGGGTGCATGTCGCGTAGCAGTTTGGGTGAAAAAGGGCTTATATGGTTTAAGCGGATTCCGGGGTACACATGGTGGCGGCCAACCTTCCTGTCTATTATAACCGAAAGCCCCAAAGCCTAGAGCCTCAAGCTCTACAGCCCGAATCCCTGGACCCTAAAGCCCCAAAGCCTCGTGTCCGATCCGTTATAAAAAAACGCCCCAGAGCCCGGAAAGGAGCACTGTTACGATTGAGATAGCCCGTTCAGGTACGAGGCTGGAAAGCTTGACGAAGGCCGGAAGGTGGTCGTCAAGGCGGCAGGGTGTTTGCTACAGGGATAGTAATGATATCCCGTTTTGGAGGGTTCCATGAAGGGTTTCATAAGACCTCCTATGGTTTTATAGGGTTTTAGAAAACTATGTAGGAGTATTCCGATGCAGTTCTTATATAGTTTTCCATAAGATCCCTCAAACCCTGGCCTAAATGCTGTGTTAGGGTGCACCCTCCCGGGATGTAGGGGAGCCGTGTTCATGGGCCACTAACCCTTTGAGAGGAATATCATAGGGTTTAGGGTTTAGGGTGGAGACGCAAGCCATTTGAAGAAGCGGCCGCGGTTTACCAGGGGTGTACATTCGGGGATGAAGGGTTTCCGGGTGTCGGGCTTGAGGCTTGAGTGTTGCGAATCTGGAAGATTACGCCAACAAAAGCGGCATGCTGTTTCTGGACAATTCGAAAGGGCTTCCGGGGCTCTTTCGGAGAACTCAGGGCTAGAGCTTACGATTTTCATGATGCACATGCAGGGGAACCTACACAGCAAAAGCAAACCCTAGACACCAAATCAACATCCAACCCTAAACCCCAGCCCAAAATCTTTTATTGCTTGAACCCACAAGAAATCCTAAAATCCCACCGTACACCACAAAGCAAACCTGAACGCTCAAACTAAGATTGCACCCTAAGCTCCACCTCTAACCCCCAAAGACCCACGTCTCTAGGGTTCCTCGTTATGAAGCCTTTGTGTCAGTTTTCGTGCGGAAATGCGTGTTTTGGAATCACTAAGTCGCCCGTAGCTAAGTTGTAAAGCCCCACCGAAAACCCGATGAAATCCTTTTTCAAGCGGAGCTTAAAGCACCATAACGCGCTCGTGAAATCAAAACCCCTTCCAGAAACCTAGGTATTCTATTTGTTCACACCCTGTGCAAAGCAAAACCTACTTGCAGGTCTTCAAAGATGTACCGGGTTTGGGCCTCGGGAGGGAACCACTTCGAGAGCTTCTCCTCAAATAGGGCGGATATAAAGGGCTTGGTCAAGTTTTGCTGTTCAGGCTTGAGAGTTTGAAACTGCGCTTGAGTCAAAGTTCTTGCATGAATCGCATACATCTTCTGGTTGTGAGGAGGATGCCTTGAGCGGTTGGGAAGAGTTTTGGCATTTGGCGGCAATTGGATGCGTACAAAATCCCAGAGCTAGACCCCACGAGCTAAACTTGAAAGCGCACGACGCAGTTGGGTTTAGGGCCTCGGGTTTGGGGGGTTGAGGGCCAGGCTCTGTGCGAGTTTTGGGGGGTGGTTTTGTGCGATTTGCCATGTCTCTTTTTCGTCTGGAGCCGGATCCTAAAGCCCAACTGTTCGAGATCTGCCCTAATTAGTCCCCAAACTGGAATCGCCTGGTTTTCTATGGATCCATGGAGGGTTGGCGGGCCATCTCTGAGCTGCCCTGAGCACCGAGCAAACTTCGGATGAAGACTTGAGAAATGACCCCAGGCATCATTAACATTCAGATTGCTCGTAGTTGGTGCTTGTTTCACTGATTGTTATCGTTACCATTGCCCTTGTTCTTGGTTTTTCTTGAATCAAGAACATTTCGTCAGCCCTTGTTGTGATACTTAGGCGGTGCACGCATGCTTGTCCTGAGGTGTGCGGATGGAGCTCCGGGCTGTCTTCGTGTGCAGTCCTGTAAAGGTGGTAGGCAAACTGCGTAGTGCATGTCAAATCCGGCTGAGACCCGAGAAATGTCGAGGGGTTTCCGGTGTTGGTTAAACGATCTCGAGCGAAGCTCCTGCGCCCTCGAGTGCCCAGGTGCAGATGCGCAGAAGATCAAGCAACGACACCTGCTTGCAGAAGCCCAAAGCACGAAATCTGGATCCTGAACCCCTAAAGTCTGCCTTGAGGACAGCGGCGAAGTCCCAGATGCCGCGAGAGGGAGGTACTGAGTAACCTAGTACCCTGAAGGTACCTCCCTGTAGACATGGGTCCCAAACCGACGTCCTCGACGACCGGGCTTTAGGCTTTAGTTTCCAGGGATTTCAGCACTTTCAACTAGGCTGTGTGATTTCCAGCAGTTCTGGGAGGCGTTTCCACTCCTAAGCTTCCAGCCTCACCAAGCCTACGCTTTACGCTGTTCCCTGCATTCAAGGAGGCAGTTCGACGTCGAAAGGGCAGCAGGAACCCTGAACTTCCCAACTCTGGCTTGGGCTTTTACGCTCCCAGTCCCTTTGCCTTTGAAACCCCTAAGGACTCATGGCCCTCTGCCGCCGGGCTCTCGAGCTGCTTGGGTTTTGGGGTTTCTCTGGCCCTTTGGAAGGGGCATTTTCTATAGAGTCCTCCCATCTTCCAAGAAGTGTAAGTCCCCCTCCTAATATCTTGGTCCCCTTACGGTAATAAATTACGGGCAGCTTCCTTCAAAAGGATTAAAGACCCCACCCTCACGGCCCAGGGATGGAGCAGCATGCGCATCTCTTGCTTCCCTTGGGCGCGGGCGCCCGTTTCTCTGGGTGCTGCGAGTCTTGCATTCTGGGTCTGCTTAGGATGTAGGATTAGTTAATGACGTGCGGACTCCTACAAAAGCACGAAACCCTGGACCGCAAGACTCTTGCTCTTAGAAGTTGAACCTTGCAGTTTGAGTCACTCCTCCGGATGTCATCGACGTCGCATCCCAGTCTGTCCCTGTACGAAGCGGAAGATGAGGTCTCTGGCAGAGCCCGAGCTTCGCGAGCGCACGTGAACCCCCAGCCCTCAACAACCTAAAGCTGCAACAGTGAGCCTTTCTCAACTAGCTATCTCACACAGCCCGAACCTCCAAACATTGGATCGGAAAAAATGCCCCGCTTGGGGTTTCTAGACTTCAAGCTGTAAACTCCTCCCCGACAGCGCTTCACCCAGGACCTTTACCACAAACCTCCATAGCATCCTCGTTTTTGCTCGGCGAGGAACATCCAAGTCTTAGGTTTTGGTGTCTTGCTTTCAAGATCCCAGGTACATCAGTTCAGAGCCCTGCATATCAGGTTTCATAGTGGATGTGTCGGGGCTCAAAGGTGTGGGAAGAGCATATAAAGCATACGGTATGCCTCTAGCAAAGGACAGTGCCGGTTCCACGTCTTCTTTCAACTTGTCCTGAGCATGACTCTACCCTGAACCGCATTTTGGGGACTTTCATATGTGTGCAGCCTCCAACACCAAAATGAAGTATATAAGCTCAACAATGTAGACCCGAGACCTTCACACCTTGGGAAAAAGCCGACCCAGAGGTTGGTGCCAGCAGGAGTCCAGATGCTACGCCGGGACTTTCGGATTCCGAAGTTCTGGGTTTGGGCGGTTTCTCTCTTGTGCGCGAGCGGCTCCTCCCGCGGTCTGTTATCGTCGTTGTTGCTGTTAGGCACTGAAAACCTTAGTGCCCAGTGTTCCTGGGGATAGTTCCAGGCCCCTCTTTAGTTGAATCGTGGCTGGTTGGAATATACACCCAAAGCACATTCATTGATCATGGCCCCTGCATGGTAGTTGATGGGCCGATGGGGTTTCGGGTTCTGTTCGTGGTGAGGCACCCGGAAGTTTACAATATCGAAGCCTTATGCCTGCAGGAGCAATTCTATTGCTGTGTGAGTACACATCCCAAGACCTTGGGCCCAAACATCCAACAGCCGGAAGCCTTAATACGTACGGTAAAAGCAACGCATGTTTCTTGCAAGAAGTCTGCAAGTGCCGGAAGCCATGGACTCAAGCGCTCTCATAGTGCCCGGACGCCAAAACCCGAAAAAGCAAAGCAAAGCTGAGCCACTCACCAAGCCCCCAGCACCCAAGGCCCGGCAGGCAAAGCAACCACCCGAGCTTTGAACCCGAACGCTGAGGGTGCTGAAGCCCCGAAAGCGCCAACAGCACAAACAGTGTTGACAATATGAACCTTAAACCCTTGTTCCTTCCACTAGTCCCGATCCGACCCGACAGACCTCCTCCTCCAGCAGTGTCCGTGTACCACATTCTCCGAAAGAGCCACCAGCTGCAAGGTCCTGTACGACATGCTGGACCCGCAGGACGCCAGTCGCAGGACCGCCCCCGTAATCTATTGGGAGCAGCACTATCGAGGTCCCAATGCTGAATAAGAATCTCGCCGATTTCCTTTTGCAGTCCCTTCGTACTGTTGCTGCCAACACATCTGAAACGACTTTGAAGCCGCGTCATCAAATCTTGAAGCCCGAAACCCTGATCCAAAACAACCCATGGCTACGGGGCTCAAGGGGAATGCCAAGCGGTGTCGATTTTTAGGTGGCAATGGCAGCGACGGTGATGTGGTTGGCGCTGCTCCTACCATGGATGGTACCAGTAAGCGGCCAGCTGGTGCAAGAATGGGCCACACAGCGCGGGAGCGGAAGCGCTTACCCACCCTACTCACAAGCCATGCAGGCCGGTGCTTGATTTGAGGTTAGCTCGATGATCGATGCCTGTGAAATTTCCGACTAGGCAGTTTTCAGCATTTGGTTTCTCGGAGCTCGGGCGCGACAAGCGCATGGGACTGTCTCGGGTATGTGACGGGAAGCCTTCCCCCGCAGCACCTTCAACCCTCGCCGAGGTGAGCAGCTTGGGCGACGCCTGGGTAGTAGGCTACACGGAGGGAGACCTTGACGGGAATAGCCACATTGGCTCACGGGACATCTTCATCATGAAATTCAACAGCGCCGGTGAATGGGTGTGGACGGGACTGCACGGAAGCAGCGCGAGTGATACCGCCCACGGTCTGCAGGCCCGCTGGGAAGGTCTGTTGTGTTGCCGGCTCCTGGGTATCGTTTTCTAGAGATGCCTGCAAACGTCAGACCCATGTCTCGCCACTCCCCACTATTGCTTCTCAAGCTTGCCGCATGGATCCCTTTCAGGGGTGTGTGTGTGTGTGTGTGTGTTGGTTGACAGCCAGTTCTGTATTGAGCAAACTACACGCGATCAGTGCCATTGGCTTAAGAAGCCGCTGAGGTAGATGCCTCGGACAACGTTTTTGTGACCGGCGTCACAGAAGGTGACCTGGATGGGAACGGCAGTCCAAGCGGCAGAGATATGTTCCTGATGAAGTTCAGCTCTGCTGGGACCCATGCCTGGACAATGCAGCGCGGAGGAAGCAGTGGATCTACCTACGGACAATCTGTGCAGGCTGGGTCGGGGAGGCATGCTGAGCGGGAATCCGTCTCTACAGATCTGACTTAGAGCTCGTGGTCTTGTTGTTTTGGTTGCAAGCGTTTGCTCATAACCCGGTTGGTCCAGCTGCCACTAAATTCGTGTGGATGCTGAGGAGCCTATGGATCAAGAACCTGAAGCATGTTTAGCGACTATTGCTGGAACCCTTCTAGACTCTAGAACCTCTGATTTTTTCAAGGAGCGACGTGCACAGATGCACAGAAAGGGTGCAGTGAAAAAAACCCTTCTGCAGACACAAGCAGCATGAAGGTTGCATGAGGTAATCCGGAGGCGGCTGGGAAGTGTGTTCCCGTTCTGCGGCCCCTCTCCGGTTTTGTCGAAGTGCTGGGCCTCTAGTCTAGGGTTTAGGAAGTTCAGGGTGTGTTGCACTTGGCTGCCGAGTTGGACAGCAGCAGCAACATCATCGTGTCTGGCTACACCAATGAAGTCTTGGATGGCCAGACACCCACCGGGCAGGATGTGTTTGTCATGAAATTCACGAGCAGCGGTGCGTGGCAGTGGACGCGCGTGCACGGGAGCACTGGTGTTGAGAACTTTGGCCAGATGCAGGCCAGCCCGGGGGTCACGCCAAAGCTGTTTCATCAAATATTGGCTGCGGGACGCAAAGTCTTGGGGCGGGGTCTGAGCAGTAGACGAGACATGTCTTTTTCAACCTTCACCAGCCCTGCCACTGTGCCTCTTTGTCCTGTCACTCAGGTCAGAATGCTAGTCGTCCACAACAGGTCGTACTGTACTACATAGTAAACTTTGGGATTACAGCTCCACACAGCTGGGATTGCACACCGACGCGCCCACTCCATCAGCGAGGTTCTTCCAGCGACAGGAAAACATACCCGACGACAGGTCGTCTACAGCTAAACGGTGCCCATCCCAATAGCAAAACTAGCCTTAAAAGCCCGCAGCTGAACGACCACACACAAGCACACACGACATGTAGGAGTTCCAGCTAACCTTGGAAGAGCCAGTCTCAGCCTAGACAGTGCAAGGTTGATTTGCCGGGTATGCCTGATGCAGCATTGAGTTGCCCAAGGGGTGCTGCCCCCTCTGGTTGAGCTCGGGTGCCACCGCGTTACTCTGACTGTCGTGAGGGCGGTGTTTTGCTCTTCGGGTTTCTTTTTGGCTCGGTTCTATCTCGGGCAGTTCTGGATCTCTCAGCTTCCGGCTACGCTCCTGCCGTTTTCATTTTGCTTTTCTCTTACATTGTACCATGCTACTTCAAAGCTGATACTCTGTTGCCATTCGCATCGCCAAAGTTTGCAAAATGACTGAGTCTTTCGAATGGTGACCCCGACCTCAAGGTACTATATCAGGGAGGCAGGTTCCTATGAAGCAGGACACAAGAATCTAATCTCATTGGCTCCATGGGATGGCACATGGAGACACTAGCCCAGATTTGCCTTGTCCAGACTGTCGTGATTCGTCGTGGGCGCACTGCCTTCACCGACGCAACCCTGGACCCTGATCCCCATTCCCGAGGTGGACGGCTCTGACAACATATTCGTGGCGGGCTACACAAACGGGGATCTCGGCAACGTCAATGCAGGTGAGTGGGACCTCTTCCTAATCAAATTTGACAGCACAGGGACCTGGAAGTGGACCAGCCAGCATGGATCAAGCAACAATGACGTGGCAAGAACATTGCAGGTGGGGCATGAGTTCTGGATTTTGTTTAGGGCTTCGGGTGCGGGGTGCAGGCTTCTTCCTCTAGCCCGGAGTAAGTGGCTGGCAACTCAAGTATGTGTTCTTTTTTTCGTGTGTGTGTGTGTGTGTGTAGGTGTGAAGCGGTGTGAATGGAAGGTTCTTCCAGGAACCTTGAACATGGTGTGGTTTGAGGGCTATGACATGCGGCCTGGTAGGGTGGGGCTCCAGACAGCAGCTTGCCCAGTCAACGCAGTAAGCACAGTGGGTCGTCTTCATCCCCTAAACCCTCGACCATGGCCAAGATCGATGGCTCCGGCAATATCTATGTGGCCGGCTTCGCCAATGGACCGCTGGACGGACAGGCATGGGCAGGCCTGAGCGACATATTTCTTATGAAGTTTGACAACCAAGGGACCAAGCAATGGACCGTCATGCGTGGAAGCAGTGGCAATGACGACGCCGATGCCCTGCAGGCCGGGTCGGGGAGGAATGATGAGCTGGTCCCAGACAGACTTGATCTTGTGATCTTGCCCTTTTCATTGCCCACAGTTGGCTTCCAACCGAATGAAGGTTGTGTTAGCGGGAGGTGATCCGAAGGTTGAATTGCTGTGATGGCCGTTGCATGTCTCTGAAGCTTGAGGCCTAAGATTGGTTTCCCATGTGTGTTTGGCGGGGTTGCCCGGTTACTGTTGTCGAAGTTCTGAAAATCCAGTTGTCCGCTTGGATTCACGGTATAGGGTGTGTTGCACGTACGCGACTGCCGAGTTGGACGGCTCGGGCGACGTCCTCCTACTGGGGAACACGGATGGTGGCCTGGATGGTAATACTCATTATGGAAACTTGGACATCGTCCTCTTGAAGTACGACAGCAGCGGAACATGGCAATGGACGCAGCAGCTGGGGAGCAGTGCGGGTGACGCGCCACGTGCGCTGCAGGCCAGGTAGTGCGTCGAGCTTGCAGTTTCTCCTCCTCCTTGTACAAACTCGGGTCATTGTTTGCTCGGCCTCTTGGAGCCTTAGTTTTTGGGATGTACTGCTCCCAGAGGTAAGTGGTTGATTTACTTGCAAAGATGCTGCTATCACTCCTTTTCAAGCCGCAGCCTTCCGTTTTTTTGTGGCTAGCCTTGGCGCATATGCAACAGGCACCACGGTACGGTTGCGAACCTCTGAGCAAGCGTGTATTCCAGCAAGCAGTTAATCAAGGAAAAAATCGCGCGAATCATCATTGCCCCCGCTGGAGGTCGACAGCTCTGACAACGCTTACCTGGCGGGACAGACAACTGGTGACCTGGGCGGCGGCAGCACGGGCAATAATGACGTCTTCGTCATGATGTTGGCGCAGGCCAGTTCGGGTGTTTGTTTTCGAACTTGCCACAGGCGACTGCCAAGAGCGTCACTCCCCAGAGTCGAAATGTAGGCGAGCCAAATAAGAACCAGCCAAGACGTGGCAGTTCCAAAGATTAGTGAAACGTAAAGCCACATTTCAGATTAGCTTCTTGCACTTACTGGCTTTTAAGCCATGACAGAAGATTCTTTTCGCACGCTCGTGTATGAAGATCATGAAATGCTGTGAGCGTACTCAATAGCTTTCTCTGAGGGGTTTTGCCGCACCCAGTGTGCAGAACTTGCGTACATCGCGAGATTCTCGTGATGTTCTTTCTGGTAGAGCCACGCTGCATCTTCGACAAAGGGCATTCATTTTTAGCCGTGTGTTTACCATGCCATACATTTGCTGCGGACTGGCGCGCGGTGCTCGCAGGATTCTTAAAGTTCGAAGGAGTGTTTGCAAAGAGTGTAGACGAGCATCCGGAACAACCCGCATCGGCTGAAGAACCAGCCTCATTCCGTATCCCTTCTGCTTTCATCTCACTGTAAGTCAGCTTCTGTTTGAAGGCCAGGCGGGCGGCGGGCGATAGACTAATGGGCAAACAGGCAGACTACAGTGCGTTGGATGTTGGGAGTTCAAGACTTTTTTTTGCTGAGCCTTATGTCAATTTTTTGTCCATGAAGCTTCTTGTGACTTCCCTTCTCCTGGCCGTAGAGCTGCATCTCTTCATGCTGTTTTAGTTACGGCAGTATTCTCCACTCTGCTTGATGTTCCTGTTCTTGCATTGAGTTGCATCCTGCACCAGCCTACGACCTCGACAACGATGACTATGACTACGACCCTGAGCAGCAGTACGACGGCTTCCAGCAGCAGCACCACCACCACGCATACAAGCAGCAGCACTGCAACCAGCACGAGCAGCAGCACGAGTGCCACCAGCAGCACAACCACGACTAGCAGCACCACGACTAGCAGCTCCACGATCACGAGCACCACGAGCACGAGCACCACGAGCAGCAGCACAGTCACAACCAGCACCAGCACCAGTACCAGCATTACATCCACCACAAGCAGTAGCACGACCGCTACCCAGAGCAGCACAACGAGCGTCAGCACCAGCACAACAACAACCACAAGTAGTAGCACAAGCAGCACCACGAGCAGCACCACATCCACCACCACAGAGACTACCACCAGTAGTAGCACGAGCAGCACCACGAGCAGCACCACATCCACAAGCACAGAGACCACGACCAGCAGCAGCACAAGCACCACCACAAGCAGCACCACCTTCACAAGCACAGAGACCACCACCAGCAGCAGCACAAGCACCACCACAAGCAGCACCACTTTCACAAGCACAGAGACCACCACCAGCAGTAGCACAAGCACCACCACGAGCAGCACCACGTTCACAAGCACAACATCCACCACAACTAGTAGCACGAGCAGCACCACAAGCAGCACCACGTCCACCAGCACAGAGACCACCACCAGCAGTGCCACAAGCACGACCACAAGCAGCACCACATTCACATGCACAGAGAGTACTACGTCCACCAGCACGGAGACCACGACCAGCAGCAGCACAACCACCGCAACGAGCAGCACCTCCACTAGCAGCACCTCCACAACCACAAGCACCAGCACGAGCATAAGCTATACTTCGTCAACTGGTGCTACAGCAGCTGAACGGGAAGCACTACGTAGAAAGGAGATCGAGCAGGCCGTTGGCGAAGTCGATGCGGCTGCCGAGGAGGCAGTGCTACAAGCCCTCAACCTGTCGTCGCCGGAGCCGGTATCCATCCCAACGGCCGCAGGCACACTCCAGGTCGCAGCCCTGTCACCCGAAGCTCTGGAAGAAAGAGGTGGCATCGCCACAATCCCCATCGGTGACGACAGCTCCCGCTCCTTTGTGAAGGTTTCCTCTGCTGTCCTGCAGGCAGCTCAGTCCGTGGCTGGCACAGGTGAACCGGTGGTGCTGAGCGTCCTGAGCCTGTCGGAGGATTTTGCAAGCAAGTTCGCGGATCCCACTCGTGGGGAAGCAGGCGCGGTCGCAACGCTCGCTTCGGACGTGCTGGTCATCGACCTCCGGGGAACGGATGCACAGAAGCTGAAGCTGGGAAGGCTGCCGGAACCGATGGCACTGCAGCTGGAGGCCAAAAATGCGACAGCGGTTTGTGCGTACTGGGATGAGGACAACGGCCGATGGTCCACCAAGGGTGTCGACACCCTGTCGACGGAATCGGGGCTCCTCAGCTGCCATACCTGGCACCTGTCCATCTTCGGCGCCGTGCTGCAGGATCTATCGCAGGTGCTAAGATGCAGCACCGCCGCGAAGCTCTTTCAAGCCGAAGCACTGAAGAAGATGGCAAGGCTTGGCTGGCTCGGGAGCGGCCCTGCGATCTTGGTGCTGTGTTTCTGCTTTCTGTGCTGCTGTGCGATACTGTGGGGCCGCTACCAGGATCGCCAGGCTTTAGAGACGATCCCATGGATCGAAAGGGAAAGCTTGCTGCTTCGCGTGCAGCAGGACGGTGAGGCTACGCGTCCAACTCGCCCAAGCTTCTGCGGCCGGATTCTAGGATGCATCAAAGTTCCAGTCCAGAAAGTCGTTGGGTGGCTGTTCCGCGCTGAAGTGGAGAAGGCCATCGAACTCGTCAGGGAGCTGTTCCGCTCGCCCAAGGCAATCATCAACTACTGCATTCAATCCCTACATGCAGTCAGGACGGGAGTTGACGTGGAGAGTATCAGAGTCATCATGGCCGGCAGCCGCCGGCTTCGACGTCCCGAAGCACAGGAGGAGGGACATCCGCCGCAGCCGCGGATGTCCGTGTTCAAGAGGTTCACCCGGTCCGTCGTGCGACCTTCTACGAGGCTTTCGGCCAGCCATGCGATACAAGCCGTCTCAAACTTTTCAGTCCGCCTCAACGTCAACAGTGCTGGCGTCTCAGCGGTGGAAGACTTCCTCCGCAGCTCTCCACCAAAACGGATCCTGCTACTGTTGCAACCGATGCATCCCTGGTTGGTGCTGCTGCGCTTCTGCGCCTTCACGCCCGTGAGCGTTCGCACCTCTCTGCTCATCATGAAGTTCCTCACTGCGGGTTTCACGAGCGCGCTGTTCTTCACCGGCGGGGCTAAAGGGGAGGACGACGACCCAGGATGCCCCCAAGCAGAGGGACTGGCATCAGAATGGACTCAGAAGTTCTTTGTCGGCCTCTTTTCTGCTGTGCTGGGAGATGGCATCCTTCTCTTCCTCTTCGCCTTCCAGCGACGCCCAATCGTCGAACGCGCATCGTGGTCGCTAGACGACTTGAACAAGCAGCGGGCCATGTGGAACCGGAGAACCTTCCAGTACTGGGCACTCGCATTTGTATGCAAGGGCTTCTGCCTCTTCTACGTCCTACTCTTCCTGGCAAACGTTAGCAAAAAAGACCAGGATGCGTGGCTGGAAGCTGTGGGCATAGCTCTGCTACAGGACGTGGCTCTGATGCCTGTGGTGCTGTCTGCTTGTTTAGGCACTGTGGCCTCTGTGGCGATCTGGCGCAATCCGCAAATCGAACAAAGTATCAAAGATGATTGGATTGAGGGCTCCGACGGTTCAAAGCGCAGCTCCGTTGCCAGCGTTTTGTCCGATCCAGGTGACGCCGCTATACCGCTACGCATTGAGGTCGCTGGCGGATCCCGGCGAAGTTCCACCGCTGACAGCGCTGCCAGTGCTGCCAGCACTGTGTCTGATCCAGGTGTCACGCAGGAGACACAGCACCGTGCTGACCCGGGGCAGCTGTTTCCAGTGCTGCCCGGCGTGGCCAATTGAAATTGACCAGCAATCCGCGCCATGCTTGCACCTTGCACAGATCAGTAGTTCAGTGCAGTTTTGCGTGGCCTCAAACTCAGTCGCTTCACACGTTCAAAAAGCTGTGTTTCCAGCGATCTCAACGGCGACATCGTAATGGCATTCCCTCCAAATTTTGCATCAGGGCACTGATCCAACACGTCGCTTGCAGTAGCGGTGGCCTCGTAGGCGTTGGCGGCGTTGGTGGTGATGTTAAGCTTCTACAGACGTGAAGTTACCCCTGCATAGCTCAAAGCAGAAGTTCTTGAATGCATGGGGGCAGCCGTGTTGTCAAAAGTCGTCGCGCAAAAGCCCTGCCGCTGCGAATTGAATCCTGCTCATGACCACTTTGCACCTAGGGGTGCAAGTAGTGGCATGATTACATGATGGCAAAGACTGCGTCAGCAGACCATCTGACCGCCCAGGCTTCGTCAGGAATTTACCCACTAGAAAAATCCAAAGACTACATGTGAGTCTGATGTGAGTCTCAAACAGGATTCGAAGCCTCTGCAGTGGGATGGCATTTGCCATGCAATGCTTGCCAAACTTTGGCAAGAAAACACTCCGACAGTTGGTCGAGCAGCCTTTCCATGTCGGTTTGCAGACTCTCAATATCACAGCCGGAATACATGTACGTGGCAAGTATTGAAGATCAGCCAGTCTGACTCGGGAGCTTGCAAACCTGCAACCGGCACAGAGGGCGTCCAGTTGAAGTAAATTTCAGAGTAGATTTCACGGTTTTCGGACATTTGGGTGCCGAGCCGTCTGGCAACAAGTCTTGAAGTAGCAACGTGTAGCTCATGGCCAAAAGTGGCCGACGTCCTAACTAACTACGCACCTGGAGTTGTCCTTGAACAAATGGCTTCACATCTTCTGCCAGGGCCGGTGACATTTCTGCCCTGCTATGCCGCGGATGGTATCAGCAGGTCCACTTCACACAGCGCCAAGCTTTGATCCCCATGAGACCTTCGCAAGACAGAGTCCGATCTAGAGAAAGCCGCAACGTTTCAGCGCTGTGATCACATGGATCTGTTGATGGTTGTGGGCACCCTTGAGCGGATGTGAAGCCTCTAGCCCGGGAGTTATTCGTTTTGCTAGGTAGGGGTTTCAAAGATTTTTCACAGCGTGATAAAGGAATAGGTAGAAACAGATCTGAAATCCGCTCAGGGGCCTCAAGTGATGGAGCATCGTTTGGGAAAGCTTGATGCGTTGGTGCACGCTTCTCGAAGGGATGGCGAGGAAGTGTCCATGCTGCACTGTTCCCAGTAAAGGCTGAGGCTCGAGATCGATCGCTCGCTGATCTCAGACGGAAGCCTTGCTTCTCATGGATGTTCCTTCACTCTACGCTGCAGAGCATCGTGAACCCGGCGGCTTCGCTGAAGGTCGAGAAGCCATCGTTGCGACTGGTAGTCTAGGCATGTCTAGGCCGGGCCAGCAGTCTTTTATGCCAAATCTTGCTACTGCGGTTTAGCTCCAGCTGCGATGCCACCGAATCCGACGGTTGATGCTCGGGGAATCCACTCCTCATCCACATGTCCGGTTCGTCCGGCAGTTTCACTGCTGAGTCCTTAGAGACCGGCCAAGCAACAACACTTGGGAGCCACAACTCGAACATCGAGCTGCGCATGCTGCGAAGTTCCTCACATTCCTGAGCGAAGGCCGGCTCCTTGATGACGGCGCAGCTCCACTGTCTCCTTTGCTGCCAGTGTCGGTTGGCAACGCAGGTCCGTGGCGGCTCCGGGCAGAGTTCCGGTGCTGCCAGCGCTGCGTCTGACGCAGGTATGGCGCAGAACACACATCACCGTGCTCATCCGGGGGGCAGCGGAGGAATGCGAGATGTTGACAGCGACATCATGATGGCCCCCCAAAAGTTGAATTCGTGCAGCTTCAAGACAGGAGTGATGCGCGGAGGCGACTTTAGCGTTGGCGGCACTGGTGGTGTTTATGAAGGTTCTTCCACACTTGTCTTTCAAACCAATATCAGTCGCAGCAGTTGTAAGCTTCGAAAGACATGAAGTTACCACTGCATAGTTCAACGTACTTGGGGGACGGCCGTGCTGTCAGAAGTCGTCGCGCAAAAGCCGTCCCGCGCTCACGACCATTTAAGACTGTAGTGGCATGATTACATGATGGCAAAGACTGCGTCAGCAGACCATCTGACCGCCCAGGCTTCGTCAGGAATTTACCCACTAGAAAAATCCAAAGACTACACGTGAGTCTGATGTGAGTCTCAAACAGGATTCGAAGCCTGTGCAGTGGGATGGCGTTTGCCATGCAATGCTCGCCAAACTTTGGCAAGAAAACACTCAACGCGTCGCTCATGGCCAAAAGTGTATCCCGCTTTAGCAGTGGGTAAGTTTTTTTTACGTTTTCGTCCGATTTGCCGCGGCGTACGGGGACCCTTGCTCTACCCCCCCTTGTGATAATGGAGATGCTTGAGGGCACGTTCGAGACACCAACATATCGAAACCCAGAAGCCCAAAAGCATCCAAGAGCCCAAAGACCGAAAGGCTGGCTATGTCGCGGAAAGGTGACAAGGACTTCCCTTGGGCTGAGCTCTCAACCGCTTTCGGGTTGTCTCCGGGAAGTTTGGTTCTGGTTTGGGGTCTCATTATGCAGGGTTCAGGAAGGGTGTAGGAGGCGTTCTCAGGTGATTTTCAAGTTTGCGGGGTTCACAAGATAGAATGGGAATTTCGACTGGGGAGGGATCGGCATGTTTGATGTATCAGAATGCATGGAGGACGGATCACTTGAAACCTTCAGTACTCAAAGCCTGGAGTCTCGAAAAGCACTCAGCCCGCCCAACGGGAACTTGGGACCTTTGTCAGCTAGGGCATTCGGGACGGACTTTGCGGCACTATGCGATACTCTTTTCCATGCTCAAGCTGCAAGCGGCTTCGGGCCGGGAGCCCCGAGGCCGAGCACATCAGCACAGCCCCAAACAGGACGAAGACTTTTCGGAACTAAAACCCTGAGCTCTTGCAACGGCCAATGGAGCGACTAGACCCAATACTCAGAACCATGGGGCCGAAACTACTTGAGCCATCCAAAGCCTAAGCCGCAGACACCGAAAGTAACGCCCAATTTATTAGCCTTAAGCCATGTTCTGTTGCGAAGGCTACAAACCCACTGCAATAACGAACCCCCTAGTTCTGCAAGTCCAACCAAGCAGGATTCTTTTTGCCACACTCTCGTAGGACCCTAGAGCTGCACTCAGGCGGATCGCCTGCGCTTGGGCGCTGCGGTGGCCAGCGCCGTGAGCCATCTGCCAGGGGCCCTTTTGGAGGTTTGCGGGCGTGGAAGGCGGAGGGCGGAAGGCGTAGTGGATCTGGTGAGTCCAAGTGTGAGAGCGTAAAGCCTGGAAGCCTCAACCTCAGCTCTCTCGGAAGATCCGAAGACCTTTGTGAAAATCCCAGCGACCGAGGCGGAGTTGCTCGCTGGGCAGCCCTCACTTGAACCTGAAGTTGAGCAGCGTGCTCTTCGACAGGAGCGACGGATGGTTGAGGGTCTCGTGGGGTTGGAGGCTTCAGGAAGTCAGTCGGGCTCGTGAATAGGATTTTGGCAGCTTCAGGGTGAATGCTACAGGAAATTTAGGCAAGCATGTGGGGCTGTCGGGTTGTTGGGTTTAGGGTTTCGGTGTCGTTCGCTTTCAACTGCAATGTAAAGTTTCAATCAACACGTTAACTCAAGAGTAGGTGTCTGCTCTATAGCAGGAGGGCAATTGCAGGTCGTTGGGAGTATCGGCTTTGTCACTGGAGGGTGAATTGGGGGGAGGATGTCTGAGGGGTTTGTTGTTCTGGTTGAGGGTTAAAGCTTTTCTTTGCCTTCAAAGGTTTTTGTGTTCCAAGGGGCTTGGGGATTCTGACGATATAGAGATGAGTGACTTACGGCGAAGCCTTGGCCCGGAACTGTGCGAGAGTGCTCCAAACCCGAAGCACAAGACTCGAATGCGGACCCTGAACAGGTCCGGTTTGTGGTTCAGGAGTCAGGGTGCGGGGCGGGCAGGCCAAACTCCCAAGCCACCCTGAAGCCTACAACCCCGCACTTGGTGCTGGTTTTGAGGGGTGTCAGAAGGGGGATTGTAAGGCCAATCATAAGACCATAACACAATTGTCTCTGATAAGAATACCTCGTATTTACCCCTAGCAGCAAGAGATCCCATACACTTGTAATCATAGGGGTGCCTGGCCCAGGTGGTTGTCGCTAGCAGACTAACTAAGAGGGCAACCTGGAACACGAGGCCGTCAACTTCAAATCCCACCTTGACATCGTAGAACCGGGGTGTCCTGAGAGAGCCCGAATCCCGAAACAGGTCCAGGGCCTTCCAGGGGTTTAGGGTTTAGGGTTTAGGGTTTAGGGTTTAGGGTTCAGAGAATTCAGTGCTTAAGGTTTATAGGGGTAAATGCTGCTAAAGCCTATAAAGCCTGTCAAAAGCCTTCTAGGGCCCTCCAGAACAGATATCCGACAGACAACACCCAACATCGCCAAAAGCCTAAACCTCCAGGTATACTTTCAAATCTTGCAAACTTCCAAAACGCCCAAAATCCCCCAAAGCTCCGAACCTCCCCCAATCCTGTGGAGGACCGGCCAAGTGAAATTGGCCGATCTGGGCTTCGAAGGCTCAGGGGTTTCGGGCTTTTCGTCGGCTCGGCCGGGGGGGTGTCCGGCTTAAGGTTACAGGAGCGTTTGAAGGCCGGAAGGGGGGTAAAGGCCTCAGAGGGTTCACAGGCTTTTTTTCAGCAGTTCCAGGGCTTCTGGGTGGAGGGATCAAGGGTTTAAGGCTCTCCGACTGTAGCCTCCTAGGCCCTAAACGCCTCAACTTCCAAACCGTCGGTCCTTGAAGCGGCCAAAGTGCCGTCGTCGTACCAGGAACCTCGCCCAGGCTTGTCCGAGTGTGAGTTCCGAAACCCCTAAACACTTGGATCCTCGCCTGCTTGTCTAGCTGTGAGTGCTGAAACCCCTAAAATCCCTGAGCCCAAACCCCTAAACTGTGCGAGGGGTGAGCGCCGAAAGCCCCAGCAAAAGTTTAGTGCTGAAGCTCCTGAAGTTGCGGCTCTGGAAGCCCGGAATTTTGAGGCCAGTCGGAGGAGTTTTGTCGATTCATTATCGGGGCCTTCGAAAGTCTGAAAATCATAAGCAGAGTATTGCAACAGCCCCACGAAAAAGCAACGGAGGATGCGGTGCTAAGTAAGTGTTTCATTCCCGGAAGCCCTAGACTCTTCAATGAGAAGCCTAAACCCTAAACCCTTGCAGTATCGGTGGGAGCCTCCGTCAGGGGAGCTGCTACAGCCAGTCGTCTCCACTCTGCCACTCCCTTAGGAGGAGCTATTCTAGGCATCTTTGAGGCTGAGGGGTTGGGTTTTTGTTTGGAAGGGTTCGCCGATTTTGTAAACGGGTGGTACAGAGCGGGTTCTTTGGGGGGTCAGAGGGTTCAGGAGAGGTCTGTTCTTCCATGGGGGTGATAGACTGAGCTTCGAGAGCCTGCTTGATGTCGCTTGCAGACTACATCTTCCCTCGCAATCTTCCCGGCTTCGTAGTTCTTTCGGAGGACGAGCTGCGCGTCTCTTTGTTCCGTCTGGCGTAGGATTTGGGGTGGAGAAGGAATCCGGAAATGTCTTGAGGATGTTGGGGCTAGTTGAAGATGTGCGAAGACAGGCCCTAACTATCAAAGCCCCACCTAAAGGCTGGACGGTAACTGTCAAGCTAAATAGAACTCATAGGTCTGCCAGCAGCACACGAAGGACACCACTGCGATCCGTGACACGTTGTGATGCATCAGTTCACTGGACGCAGTTCTGACCGATGTATTTCTGCACGTTCCTCAGTGCTGCATGTAGATCCGAAACCCCAGCCCTACGCCTCTCTGCCCGAACTTCGCAGCCCAAAATGAAAGGCCCGCAGTTTATGTCCCCGACCACCTCCTACCCTTCATTCCCTAACCCATCCCGAAACCCCTCCAACAGCCCCTGTACCCTAAGCGCTCGACATTTTGACGAAGCCTTCAGATGCATGGCCGTCTCGATTGCTGGGTCTGCTTGCTCGTCCTCTGTTTTCGCGCGGACGCGGGGCCCGCCACGCTGCGCCTGCACCTGCTCGAGGGCAGCCACGCGCGGTGCAACGACGGCTGCTTGGTAGTGGCTTGAGAGGTAATTTGCATGAGCTTTGGATTTGAGGATAGTTGAGGCCTGCTGCGGGAAGACTGTGCTTTTCTGTTTCAAGAATTGAGCGGGAATCTCCGCGCTAACTTGAAGTTCCGTGTTGATTTCAGAGGTTAGTCGTTGAGACCCTGCCTTGCGGACCCACGCGAGCGATGCAGGATGAAAAGAACCCTGTGGCATCAAATGCAGACGATCAGAATGAAAGACTTCGGCCCTAAGCAGATAAACGGAGCTTTTAAAGCTCTATCTGCCCAAAACCTTCTCCAAGACCACCAACCTCAAGACCTGAACCGAAATCCCCCAAAAGACGAACAATTGGACGTGTCTCAGCTCAACCGACATCGCACCATTACCTCACACCTGGCTTATCCGAGAGTGCAGCGTCGAACCCTAAACCCTAAACCCT